ATCCAGATTGACTAAAACAGATTAGGGGTGAGAGTCTAGAAGAGTCCTCTTCATAAAAAGAGTCATCACAGGGACCCTTTAAAAGGGGTTCTCTACCCTGACCCCACACCAGCATCGCCTGGAAGCTGGAGAGTTGTCTGCCACCATCTCATATACTGATGAGCTGATGGTGACAGAGATAACAGAATCTACATCACTGAGTTATTAGGAAGATTAAATGCGTTACACACAGTCCTCCCAAAAACAGAAATAAAAAAATAATCTGAGAGATTGAGAAGTTTACATTGAGATACCGAGCATGTACCTAACGGACACTTATTGACCACACTGAATCTGTTTGTTACCACTTCCTCCACTACTCAGCACATGAGTGCCCATGAAATGATCAAATCAGTTACTGGAAAAAATTTTAAACTAAATATTCTCTGCAAATAAACAAAAAACACAATGCCAAGGTTCCACCTCAAACCAATTAAATCAGAATATCTACGCATTGAGACCCAGATGTCAGCAGTATCTGAAGCTTCCCAGGTAATGCCAATTCAAGCCAAGATTGAGGCCCTTATAAAGAATGATCTTACCAGTAAATGTTAATATTCAATTTCTAATCTGGAAATAAGCAACAAAAGCCTTCCTTAGAAAGGTCTGTTAGCTGATGAGCCAGCAATTTCACCTTTTGGAATTTACTTCAAGAAAATAACGAGAGATATAAGCAATGATTAATGTAATAGAACGACCTTAGTTTGCTGACCAGGGATCAAACCCATGCCCTTGGCAACAAAAGTGCGGAGTCCTTAGCACTGGACTCCCAAGGAATTCCCACCACAGCATTATTTATAAGAGCAAATTTGTTTAAATTGTGTAGGAACCCAGATGAAGGACTCCTAACTGCTAGGAAGTGGAGGCACAGAATAAGAGGTTCCAGCTGTATCTTAAAGGATGAAGGAGAGTTTGCATGGACAGAGAGGGGGTGTCCTGGAGAGGGCAGGCATGCCCTGGGGTCAGGGAAGAATCTTATTCACATTTTAATCCAGCCATTGAGGAGTCAGTTTGTCTAGACATTATAAGCCAGACTTGAACCAACAGTCATTGGAGAAGTTGGGACCCCCAAACAGGAGATGGGAATAGTGTAGACTAGCTGCAGTGCTTCTCAGGCTTTACTAGGCACACAAACACCCAGTGAAAGTTGCTCAGTCATGTCTGTTTGTGACCACATGGACTATACAGTCCATGGAATTCTCCAGGCCAGAGTACTGGAGTGGGTAGCCTTTCCCTTCTCCAGGGAATCTTCCCAACCCAGGAATCGAACCCAGGTCTCTCACATTGCAGGCAGACTCTTTACCAGCTGAGCCACAAGAGAAGCCTACAAACATCCAGAAACACCCAGGGATCTCTTTAAAATGCAGATTTTGATTGGGTAGGTCTGGGGTGGGGCCCAACAAGCTGCATTTCTCACAAGCTCCCAGGTGATGCTGATTCTGCAGGCCCTCAACCACACTTTGGGTGGTAAGCGGCTGAAATTAATACAAAAGAGCCATCCCCGCCCACCTCCCACCCCCAGCAAGGGTCTGCAGGCTAATGGAGAACCAGGGCATGGTGTTTTCTAGAGGAAAAAACAAAACAAAAAACTTTACAGCTGTGACACCAGCGACAAGATTCTGTGTCAGTGATTCAGGAATGTGAACTGTACCACCTGAGGTTTGAGGGAGCTGATGGTCAAGGCTATTGGACATTCCAAGAATGCTATAGATTCTCTGACCTGAAAAGATCTTAGTCAACTCTTTTCCCAAAAAACAGAATCAAAAACCCTCAGCCTGGGCAATCAGCACATACCCAGTGTGATTCCTCAAACGTCTGATAAGCACCTCCCAGGCCAGGCACTGGCAATACAAAGAACTAGTACAAAATCGAAAAGCTGAACACTGATAGAAATGTTCTCAGAACAAGGCACTTGAGAGATGATTTGGAATTTGGGGGGCTATGAAATAATCAAACCCAGGTCTCCTATACTGCAGGCAGATTCTTTACCATCTGAGCCACCAGGGGAGCCCATGAAAGAACAGGCCAGAGCCACGCTAAGCCTCAGAGTGTGGCTCAGCAGGGGGCAGTCTCAGGAAAACAACCGTCAGCAAAGTAATTTAAGCCAGAGCTCTAATTTTTGGAAACTGCCAACATGTGTGTTACAGGTGTTAGGACACCTCACAGTGTAGAGAAAATTAATTTTAAATGGCTGAAAATGATACACTGTTGCACATTATTTCCAAGTGCTTTTAGCCGAACAAATTAAAATGGGAGGCATTTTTCCAATAGCTGTGACACAGGAGCTCAGTTGTTCTGAGGCACATAGGATCTTTCCTGATCAGGGATGGAAAATGGGAGACTTTTCAAAGCTACAAACCTTCCTTCTCCAAGTAACCACAAAATGATCCAGAAGGCCAAGTCCAGATCTGACTCCCTTTAAAGGTTAACCTTTGAGTCAGAGAGACACAGGTCCAGACGTCAAGCTCTCTGCACCTTTTAACTCATGTAACGTGGCAAAACGAAACCTAAAGTGTGTTTATCTAAGAACATGCACATGCCCCCAGAGGCGGTGCCAGGCTCTGCCTGCTGAGAGGTTTCTCCTCAGAAAGAGCTTCTGAAAGCCATGCCTAAAAGAAAACCAAGAATCTGCATGACCCGGGCAAGTATCCCTAACTCTGGGGCCCAATAAGGAATGATAACAGGTTGGGATGGTAAGAATCTGGGTTTTTTCAGTGGCCCATGAGAGAGTGCACTGTCTAAAAATGGCCCCCAAATGAGCCCCATGTGCAGGACAGTCTATTCCTACAGAGGCGGCGGCTATTTGCAGCTACCCAAACTGTCAATGCTCTCCTAAGGGATTACCGGTACGGGAGGAAGCGTATGCCTCCTGAGTGCACTAATCCCTGTGGAGAGGGACGTGGGACAGGGTGAGCTCCGTCAGGGGCACTTACACTTTATCACTTGGATTTTTTAATAACAAGAATATAATCAAACATTACTTGTATAATTAAAACGAATTTTTTAAAAAGCATGAACAAATCAATGCATGAACAACTCCAAAGATCCCTTTGCATTTATTCCATATCCATCAAAAAAGAGAACATCGCAGAAAGAGAACATGCTGAGCATTCTAGTCCATTTGGATGTTTCTTGGGATAAATTAATAAAGCGTATTGTGGGGCATCTACCTCTGGTGAGTTTGGTCCCTCTGACCCCCAGTTTTTTCTCTCTCTACTCCTGAACAGATCCCTCTGTCACCCTGCCACCAAAAGGATCTTATACATCCTGGATGTCACTACTGCCGGCCCAGACCAAGGATAAAATCTACACATCTAGGCAGGTCATGCCCAGCCCTGCTTGCTCTGGTTGGCCTCATCTTTTCCTGTTCCCCACAAAAGTCACACGGAAGCACAGACTTGTCCTTCTTGGTGAGATCCTGGTATTCTGCTCAGCCTGCTACTCCTCCTGGAATACCCCTTTCGTCCTCTCAGCAACTCCAAATCCTCCATATCCCTGGGGACTCAGCATGGTGTTGTAACTGCCCCTGGTAAGTGCTCTCTGATTCCAGCCCACTGCCAAGGCAGAGAGTCCTGCTCTGGGCTTCCATGTTGTATACAGGGCTTACCCCATAGGATAGCTGATCAGACTGTTAACCTCTCCTTAATTCTTTTAATTTTGTATCCTTAGCACCTGGCCCGCAGCAGGAAGTCAATATATATCCACTGACAGAAGTGAAGAAAGGTTCATTCCCCAACACTCTGATAGCACAAATGCACACAATTAAATATTTGAATTTGCAGAACAAATTGTGGGGGAAGTCAGTCTGGTTGCCTCTTTCTCCAACCTCCCATTCCCTGTACCCTGAAACCCCTATGCACTGTGGCCAAGACCTGAAGCCCCCTCAACACATCCCTAGCCTAAGCTGCAATGGACCAGGCAGGGGCCAGGAAGCTGGGTCGTTGTCCCTTGACCATCTGGGAGTGAAAGCAAAAAGGGTCACCCAATACTGACTACCTCATCAGAGATAATTTTAAACATCTTGTTGATTCTAATCATGACCAACATTCTGTTAAAATGGTTCGTAATATGAAGAGATTTCCTAACGTTGAACTAACTTCACATTTCTGGTATAAACCCAACCTGTCAGTAAGTAATTATTCTTTTTATATATTGCTAATTTTAGGATCGTAATAGATGATCTCTATATTTATACTCATCAGTGACACTGACCTATAATTTTCTTGTATCATTCTTATTAGATTTCGTATCAAGATTACACTACCCTATTTTTCTACTCTGGAAGAATTTGTGCAAGACTGCAATTACTTAGTGCCTCAGTGACTGGCAGAACTCACCAATAAAACCGGGGTAGGCCTGGAGTTTTTTCTGAGAGAAAAATCTCTGAGTACAAATTCAATGTCTTTAAAGCCTATAGACTTTTGATTTTGTATTTCTCACAGAAGCAAATTTGGCAAGTTCGATTTTTCTAGGTAATTCCAAACATTTGGATTACAAAGATAACTAGTATGTGGAAGGCTGACCCTGAGGTGAACCCTGCAAGAAATTAAGTTCCTCCTGAGTCATCAGAGAAATAACAGCTCACATGTGTACTGGACATATGTTACAATTTATAAAAGCACTGGTCACATATTACTTCATCTGAAGATGAGGTCCGCGTGGCTTTGATGATTTATGATGTCTCATTATTTGCAAAGGGATAGATAACTTCCTATTTAGCAGAATCAGCTGATTCGCTAGGAAACGCTGTGGAGGCCAAAGCAACTGCTGAATTCCTCACTTCATCTCGGGGAGTCACTTGCGAGTGTCAATATCTACAGCGTCGGGAGTGTTCTGAGCTCCTGGAAACAAACCTTCCCCAAGACCAGGCTGGGGGTGTGAAGTGCGGGGCTGGCACCTTCACGGACACGGCTTCCACACACAACGCGGCCCGGACGCGGTGGCGGTGGGGGGACACTCACCAGGGCCTCGAAGTCCTTGCAGTCGTGGCGGGCATAGGACGCGGGGAAGGGCCGCAGGACGGAGTCGCGCTTGTAGCTCCGCAGGGCCGAGGCGAAGAAGCTGCAGCGCAGGTCGGCGGCCAGCACGTCACGGCCTGCCGCCTCCCTGACGGCCGCCCGGCCTGCGGGCTGCATACCGGGGCGCCGCGCGTTGCCGGGGGAGACGCGCCGAGGTGCGGGGCGGGGGGTAGGCAGGGCCAAGCAGACGGTCAGCGCGGGGCTGGGCCCGCGGACAATGGGCTGCAGGGGGCCGGGGTCGAGCTAGGTGGAGAGAGAAGATGACAGGGTGAGAACGCGCTGAGGAGTGTCTTCTGCGGGGGTGCCGAGCCACTCGCCGCCCAGGGAGACGGAGGGGTGAGGAGAGTGACTGGCCGGGGCCGCGGGCCGGCGCGAGGGGTGGGCCGCGGGATAATGGGGCCGGAGGCCGGGGAGCCCGGGCTGGGGGAGGGGCTATGACATGGGTGAGACGACAGCGGCCCGACACGCGTCCTCTGAAGCGGCCTAGGGTGGGGGGCACCTCCAGGGGCGACCGCGGCCCGAGCCCGCTCCCTGCGCCGGGAGAAGCTGCGGCGCGGCCCGGGCCTTCCTGTCCCGCCTTCGACCGGCGCCCGCCCGGCTGCCCTCGGCGTTGCCTGCGTTCCGCCAGCTGTAAGCGTCCGCTGGCCGCACGGCGCCCGCCCGAGCGACTCCAGCGCCCCGCCGAACGCAAGGGCCTTACCTGCCCTCCCCGCCGCAGCCGCCGGCGTCCCCGCCGAGCCCCGGGCGCCGCCTAGCGCTCTGCCCCGCCCAGCGAGGGCCCGCCCCTTCCCGCGTCCGCCTCCGCCTCCGCCCCCGCCCCCGCCCACTCCCAGGTGCCGGGAGCGTCCGCGCGCCCCTGACCGCGTGCTCCCGGGCTAACCTGTGTGCGGCCCCGGCGGGGTCGCCCGCGCTGCTGCGGGCCATCCTCGCTGAAGCCCGGAGTAGAAGCTGACCCAGGCGCACTTTTGACCCACCGCGGGCTCAGCCTGCTGGTCTCGCCTGGAGAATTGCTACTACCTCCTGCCTCCCTCTGGAATCATATCCCTCCAAAATGGGCTGGTGCAGAGAGTCATTTAACACCCAGGGCAACTGGGTCTCAGAGGGCTGACATGATTGCCCGAGGTTCCACAGCCAGATGCGTGAATCCGTAATTCTAAAAACCAAAAGACTTTTCCTTGCCTTTCAGAATTCGCTGCACTGCGAAAATCTCTGGCTTCTCAGACCAGACCTTTGAGAGCCTCCAAGAAAGGGAGCCCCTGGAGACCAGTAATAGGCGAGGGCAGAGGGCAGATTGACCCAGTTCTGCAGGAGGGAAGGGACAGACCCCCATACCCTCCGCAAACTCACAACCCCATTAAGATAACCCCCACATTTTGGCCTCATGGTCACATGGAAATCTAAGCACAGGTGATGGCTAAGTCCTACACCAAGAAGCCCCTCAGCACCCTGCCCACACCGCCACACTCAAGCATCCTCCAAGGGAGGAACTTCCCGAACCTTCTCCAGCCAGGCTGAGTAGCACTCTGAGCTCAGAGGAGAGGTCCTTGCTCTCATTAATGTATGCCTTTGGGAGGAAGAGCAAGACTAGACCACCAGCCATCACATGGCTTCCCAGGCTCACACTCACTTCTGATCAGTGCTGGCTGCTCCCACGAGTCCGCAGCAAACCACATCAAACCTCTGGTTGCTGTGATACCTGTACTGCTCCAGAAGCATCAAAAAGTGTCTGAGAGCCTTATAGTCTCAGAAAAAACCCTTCAGTCAATCAATTCAGTCACTCAGTCGTGTCCGACTCTTTGCGACCCCATGAATCGCAGCACACCAAGCTTCCTGTCCATCACCAACTCCTAGAGCTTGCTCAAACTCATGTCCATCCAGTTGGTGATGCATTCCAACCATCTCATCCTCTGTCATCGCCTTCTCCTCCAGCATCAGAGTATTTTCAAATGAGTCAGTTCTTCGCCATCAGGTGGCCAAAGTATTGGGGTTACAGCTTCAGCATCAGTCCGTCCAGTGAATATTCAGGACTGATTTCCTTTAGGATTGACTGGTTGGATCTCCTTGCTGTCCAAGGGACTCTCAAGAGTCTTCTCCAACACCACAGTTTAAAAGCATCAATTCTTTGGCACTCAGCTTTCTTTATAGTCCAACTCTCACATCCATACATGACTACTGGAAAAACCATAGCTTTGATTAGATGGATCTTTGTTGGCAAAGTAATATCTCTGCTTTTTAATATGCTATCTAGGTTGGTCATAGCTTTTCTTCCAAGAAGCAAGCATCTTTTAATTTCATGACTGCAGTCACCATTTGCAGTGATTTTGGAGCCCCCAAAAATAAAGTCTGTCACAGTTTCCATTGTTTCCCCATCTATTTGCCATGAAGTGATGGGACTGGATGTCATGATCTTAGTTTTCTGAATGTTAGTTTTAAGCCAACTTTTTCACTCTCCTCTTTTACTTTCATCAAGAGGCTCTATAGTTATTCTTCACTTTCTGCCATAAGGGTGGAGTCATCTTCCTATTTGAGGTTATTGATATTTCTCCTGACAAACTTGATTCCAGCTTGTGCTTCATCCAGCCTGGCATTTCACATGATGTACTCTGCATGTAAGTTAAGTAAGCAGGGTGACAATATACAGCCTTGACGGACTCCTTTCCCCATTTGGGACCAGTCTATTGTTCCATGTCCAGTTCTAACTGTTGCTTCTTGACCTGCATACAGCTTTCTCAGGAAGCAGGTAAGGTGGTCTGATATTCCCATCTCTTGAAGAATTTTCCACTGTGTGTTGTGATCCACACAGTCAAAGTAGATATTTTTCTGGCACTCTCTTGCTTTTTCAATGATCTAACGGATGTTGTCAATTTGATCTCTGGTTCCTCTGCCTTTTCTAAATCCAGCTTGAACATCTGCAAGTTCACACTTCACATACTATTAAAGTCTGACTTGGAGAATTTTGAGCATTACTTTGCTAGTGTGTGAGATGAGTGCAATTGTGCAGTAGTTTGAGCATTCTTTGGCATTGCCTTTCTTTGGAATTAGAATGAAAACTGACCTTTTCCAGTCCTGTGGCCACTGCTGAGTTTTCCAAATTTGCTGGCATATTGAGTGCAGCACTTTCACAGCATCATCTTTTGGGATTTGAAATAGCTTAACTGGAATTCCATCTCCTCTACTAACTGTGCGTAGCGATGCTTCCTAAGGCCCACTTAACTTCACATTCCAGGATGTCTGGTTCTAGGTGAGTGATCACACCTTCATGGTTATCTGGGTCATGAAGATCTTTTTTGTACAGTTCTTCTGAGTATTCTTGCCACCTCTTCTTAATATCTTCTGCTTCTGTTAGGTCCATACCATTTCTGTCCTTTATTGTGTCCATCTTTGCATGAAATGGTCCCTTGGTATCTCTAATTTCCTTGAAGACATCTCTAGTCTTTCCCATCCTATTGTTTTCCTCTATTTCTTTGCACTGATCACTGAGGAAGGCTTTCTTTTCTCTCCTGGTTATTCTTTGGAACTCTGCATTCAAATGGGTATATCTTTCCTTTTTTCCTTTGCCTTTAGCTTTTCTTCTTTTCTCAGCTATTTGTAAGGCCTCCTCAGACAACCATTTTGCCTTTTTGCATTTCTTTTTCTTGGGGATGGTCTTGATCACTGCCTCCTGTACAATGTCACAAACCTCCATCCATAGCTCTCCAGGCAGAGACTCTGTCTATCAGATCTAATCCCTGAATCTATTTGTCACTTTCACTGTATAATCGTAAGGAATTTGATTTAGGACATACCTGAATGGTCTAGTGGTTTTCCCTACTTTCTTCAATTTAAATTTGAATTTTGCAATAACGAGTTTATTATCTGAGGCACAGTCTGCTCTTGGTCTTGTTTTTGCTGACTGTATAAAGCTTTTCCACCTTTGACTGTGAAGAATATAATCAACCTGATTTCAATATTGAGCATCTGGTGATGTCCATGTGTAGTCTTCTCTTGTGTTGTTGGGAAAGGATGTTTGCTATGACCAGTGTGTTCTCTTGGCAAAACTGTTAGCCTTTGCCCTGCTTCATTCTGCACTCCAAGGCCAAATTTACCTGTTTCTCCAGGTGTTTCTTGACTTCCTACTTTTGCACTCAGTCCCCTATAATGAAAAGGACATCTTTTTGGGGTGTTAGTTCTAGAAGGTCCTATAGGTCTTAATAGATACATTCAATTTCAGCTTCTTCAGCATTACTGGTCGGGGCATAGACTTGGATTACCGTGATATTGAATGGTTTGCCTTGGAAACGAACACAGATCATTCTGTCATTTTTGAGATTGCACCCAAGCACTGCATTTCTTCATTGAATCATTCAACTTCAGCTTCTTCAGCATTACTGGTCGGGGCATAGACTTGGATTACCATGATATTGAATGGTTTGCCTTGGAAATGAACACAGATCATTCTGTCATTTTTGAGATTGCACCCAAGTACTGCATTTCAGGCTCTTTAGTTGACTATGATGGCTACTCCATTTTTCCTAAGGGGTTCTTGCCCACGGTAGTAGATATAATAGTCATCTGAGTTAAATTTGCCCATTCCAGTCCATTTTAGTTCACTGATGCCTAAAATGTCGATGTTCACTCTTGCCATCTCCTGGTTGACCACTTCCAGATTGCCTTGATTCATGGACCTAACATTCCAGGTTCCTATGCAATATTGCTCTTTACAGCATTGGACTTTACTTCCATCACCAGTCACATCCACAACTCGGTGGTGTTTTTGCTTTGGCTCTGTCTCTTCATTCTTTCTGGAGTTATTTCTCCACTGTTCTCCACTGTAGTATCACATTGGGCACTTACTGACCTGGGGAGTTCATCTTTCAGTGTCCTATCTTTTTGCCTTTTCATACTGTTCATGAGGTTCTCAAGGCAAGAATACTGATGTGCTTTGCCAATCCCCTCTCCAGTGGACCACGTTTTGTCAGAACTCTCCACCATGACCCGTCCATCTTCGGTGGCCCTACACGGCATGGCTCATAATTTCATTGAGTTAGATAAGGCTGTGGGCCATGGGATCAGTTTGATTAGTTTTCTGTGATTGTGTTTTCATTCCAAAAAGACCCTTAGTGCCCTGAAAATCCTGG